CAAAATTTTGCTAATTAGTTCTAACTTCATGCACTAAGTAATCTTATTCAGCACCAAAAATTACATATAAACATATTTGAACTCAGACTAGTCTGCAAACTTCGGACCAGACCTGGACTGAAATTATAATTGAGTTTGAGTCTGCTCTGAAGTTTGAAATTAATAAAATTTAAAGTCTGAATCTGGTTCGAAGCCGGACCAGACCCAGACCAGACCAGACCCGAACCAGACCTAGGAGCACTAGTCATAGGCAATTGCCTAGTGATTATCCAGTTTTTAAACTGTTCTTAATGTAATTCAGCAGTATAAAAAATTGCCATGTATATATCTCTTTGAATATAAAATACATACCAATATTAAAATGCATATTTAAATAAGGAAAAAACAGGCTTACATGCATCATTGTATTGATGCACTTTTGAATTTTACAATATAATTTATATGTGGCTAGCATATAATAAATTTATATATTTTAAGATCACTAATTTTTACTCTGTGAGTTTTAATGTAAAATATGTAATTTACATAAATAATATATAGCAATAACATTTTCTGGTTTCTGAATATATAAAAATAAATATATATGCTTTATAAAAGAGCATATATTTGTAGTGATAATTACAAGGTCATATGGTCTATTCATATACTATCCAGGTATTTAAAACATAACCTTAAACATTAAATTGTAACTAAAATGACTCATGAAAATAAGCTCAAAAAATATTCTTATAAACTTCATTCAGGACAATATGATATTGCACAATTTACAATCCAATATTTAGAAGAAACTGTGAAACTTCTTAATCCTAAACTTAAACAGAATGATATGACTAAATGAGAATATAATTCTTGTATTTTTGAAATTCAAAAACTTTAAACTGAAATCAATAAATTAAGGCCTCTGGTCAAAGAATTAAAAGAGAAGTTGATACTTTAAAAGAAGAAAACAGAAAATTGAGACAAGAAAATAGTAAATTGCATAATATATTAAGCATTCTTTGCGACAATTTCGGTTTAATACAAATTACTGATGAAAATGAAAATGGCAAACAAATTCAAGTTAAGAATCAAGACATGATAAATTTAAACAGAAGGATTAGAAAAATACTTGAAGAATATAGACAAAAATATGAGCAAGATTCCAATAAGTAACAATAGTTGTTTATATTATGGAGAATATAATTATTTAGAAAATATAATACTAAGATTTTTTTATTTGATGAAAGATACTGTTGAAGCCAGGCTCTTAAAAATTACTGAATTTATCGAGATGGAGATCATTGTTGAAAAAGAAAAATGGAAAGGCTTTGAGATTGAAGAAATTTTAATTAAAATTGCTTTTCATTTAAATCTAAAAGACATATTCATAGTTTTACTTGCAGACAAAAATACTTACCAATTGATAATATCTCACATTTATAATAATCAAAATTTTTGGTGAACATATTATAATTGCAATTTCTCAAATTATTTGACAAAAGCAGAATTATATTTTTTAAACAATATGTATAAAACATGCCAATATTGTAGTAAATTTTTTAATAATCCAGTGAAAATCTTTGAATTAAGAATCAAAATTTGTAGACAATGTATTGTTTCAGCTTTTATTAGATATGATATAAAATTTAATTTAATTTCTTTTTTTCATATTTAAAATTTAATTTAATTTCTTTTTTCATTATTTAATTAATAAAATTTTTAGTCACAAAGAACTCAAAGAAAAATTTTTTAATGATCTTGAGAAAAATTACCAAATAAAGAATTTGGTTATAGCAATTCATTCAGTTGATTGTTATCAGCTAGTGGGGTATTATATGCACCCTTCTATTTGTCACAGTGAACATTCAACTCATTTGTTATTTTTTTTACATAAAGACATCGATACTGCTCTTTCAGAATATAACATATTACCAAAAAGTTTACAATCTGAATGGATAGAAAAGAAATCAAAATTGGTTCAAGAATATTAAACCGAAATTCTGAAAATGAAACATCCTTCAATTACTGATAAAAACATTCAAAATGTTTTAGAAAATGCTACATTTTATTTTTCAGATGATTATAATCTTCAAAATAATTTAGCTAATATTGAAAATTAAATAATTAGACCACTACTTTTGAGTTTCATGATTTATGTAATTTTGTTAAAACTTAATAATATTTTAATAAAAAATTTTGTTTCTTATTATTATTTTGGAAGAAATGCTCTTTCAGAATACTTCAAAAAGAAATATTAATCAAATCGAAGTTGGGATACCAGTTTTTGGATCAAAATTTTTGGAGAAATTACTTTTATCAATTTTCAAAAAGGTATCGATACAAGAAATTTATCAATTATATCACTATAAAAATGCTTACATTATAATATGTCCAGTAATGATATTTGATCTAAGAATTAAATTTGTCCTGATTTATTGAGAAAAAATAGTAAAAACTGCATTTTCTTTTCATATAAATTTGGTTCAGAAAATAAGAACAAAAGTAGCTAAAACATGGTTTAAGACATCCAAGTTTGGATTAAAGAGTTTAATAAACAAAAAATATATAAATTTATACAAACAGTAAAATTTTAAATTAGATATTTTTTCAAATAAATTTTATTAATACTGTATATGTTATATGTTACTTTACAATCCATATTATTTTCAAAATGACATATGTTATTTTAAAATTGCAATATAACATATATCATATTACAATCAGTAGAACGATACCAATAACATAATAAATTAAAAAGATTACGAAAAAAATGAATTACACAAATTTTCGAACAAATAAATTATGTAACCTTATGTAAATACTTGAAACAAATAAATTACATATTATTAAAGATCATAATTACTTCAACTAATAATTATTACATTCACCTCTCAATACACAACCACAGTGCCTAGTACAAAGTGCATTGTTTTTACAGCATGAACAACTTTTAGTTTTGCAGTTTGTTTTGCTACAATAACAACTGTCATTTTTTTTTAATTTCTTTTGTTTTACTTATATGATTGTTTGGTCTTGAATAAATGAATTGTCTTTATTATTGTTTGTCATTTTTATTGGACATGTTAAGTTTTGTTGAGCTGCAGCATTTCGTAAAGAGATAAAAGTACCAAGTGGAATAATGTCAAGTGCTGAATATTCATTTATACCCAATGGTTCCAATTCGTTTGTTGAATACCATGTGTCCAAGATCCCAAACTCGCATCCAACTTAATAGGAATCACTATTAGGTCTTTTTTGGATAACTTTGCAAGGCAATAAACAACTATCCAGTTTTAGCTTGTCAATATCTGGAACCCAAATTTTTACAAGATCACCTAAATTCAAAAATTATACATTTTAGTTTTTAATGTTTCATAATATTATTACTATGAATTTCAGTATATTAAACAATTTATTTATCAGTAATTGTTGCATCCTTTTATTATATTATTTTAATATATAATGTGATAAATGGTATAATAAAAAGGCATGACAATTACCAATAAACAAACTGTTTAATATTATTTTAAATAATTTAACAATATTACCTGGATTTAAAGTTAATATGCATTTGGTTTTATGACATTTTTTCATAATATTACAAATAAATTGACAATTTTTTTTAACTTGCTGTATTGCTGAATCATGTAGTTGTTTGTGGTTATCAAAGCTTGCATGAAACTGACTATTAATTGACATAAAACTTTCTTGGTCTGAATCTTCAATTAATGTATAAGAGCAGCTCACTTGAGATGATTCTTCTAATAATATATTAGAACTTCCTTGAGTTAAATCTTTACTAATTGTATCTGCTTGAGATAAATTTCAAATAATTTATAGTTTTTTTGAAATGTTTTATCTGATAATATATCATAATAGAAATTTACATTTTCTAAATTTATAGAATCATACCAATGTAATGAATGCTATTAAAATAAATATAACAATAAATAAATAAATTAATAAAATATTTTATTATAATAATAAATAATCAAAAAATTAAATTGTATTTGCATTATTATTTATATTAGAATCTGATTCATGCCATTTTTCTTTTTTATTTCAGAGTATCTTTGTAGCGCAATAAATTCATTGTCAATAATACTGTTATCTCATGATATAATCATTTTACTTTCATTCATACTGTTATTATTAGATTTAAGATCACTATTACTATCCTCAATTGTAATTACTTCTGTATTATTTTCTATAAATAAGTTAAATAAATTATTAAAATTAAAAAATTTTATATACTAGAGAATTTTGTAGTTATTATATAAAGATTCTATAACTTTAGTAGTTCTAAACCTATTCAGAGGGTCTAATTTTGCTGAATATAAGTATATCCTTACTGTACATACAATTATTAATTAATTGATTATCATTATTGCTATTTAAATATGTTTGATTAAATAATGTTGATTGATTTTCTAATGGAATATCTTTTTTATGAATAATATTTTGTTGATAAAGCATTGAGATCATTTGTAAATCTGCCTGAGGTTGCTGTCCAAATACAAGTTGGTATGATGTTGGTTTCGTTGCTTTACATTCTTGGTTGTTCATTGCCTTTGCAGTATTAATTGTTTTTAAATTAAAAATTTATACATATAAATCAATTTAAAATTTATTTAAATATATTATATAATGTCCCATAATTGCTATTGTGAATAAACAAATAAATAAGCAAATTATAAAAATATTACAGATTATAAATGACAATCCAGTACTCCAATTTTTGCATTTAGTTTCTTCTATCCAAGATCCAAGTTTTGTTTATAGGATATCATTAGCTTTCTCAACTGAACCTTGGCACTGAGGGTATCTAGGCCTTTCATGTATAATTTTATCAGATGGCCAAAGTTTTATTGTTTTAGTTACAATATCCCTTACAAATGCTCCTCTATTATCTGAGTGTAGAATTAATGGTGAACCATATATTAAACAAAATTGTAGAAGAAAACTAGCTGCTTCTTCAGCAAATTTTGATGTTGCAGGTTCCACAGCTGAAAATCTTGTGAAGTGATCACAGATATGTATGATATATTTAAATTCATATTTATGGTATCAATTTACATAACAATAATATTAATTTTAAATAAAATTACTTCTATTGATATATACAAATTAATATATAAAATAAATATAGAATCTTACTTGAACATAAGCAAGAAACTTCTCTGCAATAATAGACTTCATAGCAGGTATGCATTTTGTTACACATCATGTAACACATATATTACACTGCTTTATGACATTTTCTACAATTGTTTGAAGGATAAAACAGTATCTTTGATGAATTTATTTATACATATGTAAGTATATATTACTTAATCTATAAAAAGGTTTTAATAAATGATATAATTAAGATTTTACCCTCAACTATGTTTTTTTCTGCCCACCATGTTCAATATCCTGATGGGTCTGACAAATTATAACATAAAAGTCTTCAATAGGGCAGACTTGTATACCACGATTATGATTTTCTGATATGATATTAAGTTTTTCAATGGCTTCAACTTTGATTAGTTTAAATGTATGAAGAACCCAGTATTTAAAATTTGCATTTTCATGAGTACTTGTAGGATTTCATAAAAGTACTACACAATGGTTGTATTTTAAACAATTCATTATACGTCTTTCATTCTTTTGATTATTCATATAATTGTTAACAATTTGTTCAAATGCTTCAGGTGATAAAAATGAAAAAACTGTTGAATTATTGGAAACCATATCGATGTAAAAAGGGAAAAAATAATAAAAATTATTGAAACATTTTTTATTTAAAGCATATTTATTTTGAAAGAAACTTTATTACATATCATATAAAACTTTATTATGTATCATATAAAACTTTATTACGTATCATATAAAACTTTATTACATATTATATAAAAACTTTATTACGTATCATATAAAAACTTTATTACGTATTGTATCGTATGATTAAATCTAAGCGCAGTAAAAAATCTTTAATTTTTTTTTACATAATTTAATAAAGCATTGTATAGTTAAATTTGAACTCAGTAAAATTGACATATGTTACATTTCAATCGGTATAAATTTTAAAATAACATATGTTAATTTCAAACTCAGAGGAATCGTAAAGCAACGTACAACATATACACCTCATTCAAAGTCTTCTTTCTTATGCAAAATCCAATTAATGCATCCATTAATTTTTTGTTTTCATAATTAATTTTCAATAATAGCTTTTTTAAAGGAGCATTGCAATGATTAAGAAAAGCATCAGCATATAAGTTTGGATCATATAAATCAAGATAATGTAATGATGCTGGTAATATTTTAGCAAACTTCATAATGTATGTTTTCATTTCTTCTTTTGATCCATTATGAATCCAAAGCAAAGTGAGAAATTGGAGTTTTTGTAAACACCCAATAAGATTCAGGAGTTGAGCAGAAAGCTTAATTCTAGCAAAATTAAGATAAGTAATATTTGGA